AAGTGATATCCCAATAAGGAAACATGTGTATAGATGATCTGACTGAGAGAGTGAAAAACAGACTGAAGACTGAGGAGATACGACTACTGACAAGACTCTTAAAGAGAGACACACAGGTATACTTTATGTTCTTTAACTTACCTTTACGACTCTGACAAAGAGAGCAGCTTGGACGATGACACCAACAATAAGAAGTGATGCGACAGCAGCAGCAACAGTAGAAATAATCATCCAGCAGAGAAAGAAACTGAAACAGAAACAAAAAGTTTGTGTATCACTCAGAGTGTAGTTTCATATCACACTCAGATCAGACTGGACGTCACATTGGACACACAGAGAACAGCAGGGGTGTGTGTGTGTGTGTGTGTGTGTGTGTGTGTGTGTGTGTCTCTGTGTGTGTGTGTGTGTGTGTGTCTGTATGTGTGTGTGTGTGTGTCTGTGTGTCTCTGTGTGTGTGTGTGTGTGTGTGTGTGTGTGTGTGTGTGTGTCTCTGTGTGTGTGTGTGTGTCTCTGTGTGTGTGTGTCTGTATGTGTGTGTGTGTCTGTGTGTGTGTGTGTGTCTCTGTGTGTGTGTCTCTGTGTGTGTGTGTGTGTGTGTGTGTGTGGTGTCTGTGTGTGTGTGTGTGTGTGTGTCTCTGTGTGTGTGTGTGTGTCTCTGTGTGTGTGTGTGTGTGTCTGTGTGTGTGTGTGTGTCTCTGTGTGTGTGTGTGTGCGTGTGTGTCTCTGTGGTGTGTGTGTGTGTGGTGTGTGTGTGTGTCTCTGTGTGTGTGTCTGTCTCTGTGTGGGTGTGTGTGTGTGTGTCTCTGTGTGTGGGTGTGTGTGTGTGTGTGTCTGTCTCTGTGTGTGGTGTGTGTGTGTGTCTCTGTGTGTGTGTCTGTCTCTGTGTGTGGTGTGTGTGTGTGTGTGTGTGTGTGTGTGTGTGTGTCTGTGTGTGTGTGTGTCTCTGTGTGGTGTGTGTGTGTGTGTGTCTCTGTGTGTGTGTCTGTCTCTGTGTGTGGGTGTGTGTGTGTGTGTGTGTGTAAATATTTCCAACAGTTATCAAAGCGATAACATTGTGTCACCACCATGTTTATCGTTGCCGTGGAAACATCGGATCACATCGGACACACACACAGACAGAGACACACCATATCCACATTTATATTTTAAAAACACATTCTGATCAGTTTTGATTCACCAATTTGTTTCTTTTTGGCACAACTTTATGATCCTGATCTACAGTAACATCTGGTATATAAGACGCTGTCTGTTTTTGAAGGTCTCTCAGAGAGAAACAAAGTTTAAACTGTCTTCCTGTGTGATGATTTCTATCGTGTTCAGTGAAGTCTACAGCGTGCAGTTTGTGTGTCACTCTTTTAGTTCTGTCTGTTTTCTCTTTGTGGAGTTTGCTCTTCTACTAGCTACAGTACGGTACTCGAGTTCTCAGCCTGCAGGGAAAGTGGTGAAGCACAGACCCCGAGCTCTCTGCCCGACTCCGCTGGTCACTCTTTAACTTGAATATAGGACTCTTTCAATCAAAACACTCCACACGGTTTATTTACAGAACCATAAACCACCGTTTTCTGTAAAGTCCTGATTATGACCTCATGAGGGAGTAAAGATGTGAAAAAGTCGCTCAGACGGACTGGTCTGTGTCGCTGTCTTTCCCAACACAGCGTGCAACCAGCTTTCAATACACACTGAACGGGGATGTGTTTTTAATGACGTCAGGTCGAGCGCAGTGTGTGATGGTGGCTGCTGCACACGCTGTAATGACGTGTTTCACTATTTTATACTGCTATGTTGGTCCCACCGGTGTATAAAGATGAAACAATAGGTATTAAAAGTGCGTCTATACACCAGATGTTACGGTAATCTCTGAGTCCTTTTTGTGTCTTTTTTAAACCCCTTTAGTGTTATCAGACAGATGTTCACACAGTGATGAATAATGTTAGAAACATCTGGAGAGTCGTCGTGGTTCTGCAGGAAGTTTTCATTGACATTCAAACAAAAAGGAAGATTCTCACCTTGGGTCGACTCCTCTGGTTCTCAAAACACAAAAAGGAAAAATGTTCTTTAAACAATCAAACATTCTAAATGTTCACGGGGCTGTTTGAGACTCAGATTACAGAATGTTTAAAGGTTATAATAAAGAAAAGGAGCTAAACAATGTGAATCTTTGTAGAGCAGTCGTCATGGCAACATCACATTTGAGTTGGAGTTTAACTTTGACTAAAAACATTTTTTCTGACTCTCATCATGAAGAAGCACGGACACAGAGAAGACGTTTGGACAACTCTTCAAATCTTGACTCTACTTTAGTTGTGAAATCTTCTATCCAAACTAAAGTTCTCTAAATGTGTGGTTAAACATGAAACACTGGATATAAAGTGATGTGACATCAGAGCTCAGCTGTGTTGATGATTCAAACACTCAACAGTCCTTTTATTAAGTTCACCTGTATAATCTGAGACAGCTGATCCATCACTAAGTTTACTTTTATCACGCTGTCATCACCTTTTTATTACAGTTCTATGTTTTAGAACTGAGGTCAGAGAGACTGAAGGTGTTGTGTTGGACTGAATTTATTCAGGTGTATTTCAGATTTTCACCTTTCATGAAGCAGGGAGAGAAAAATATAACAAACATCAACGTCTCATTTTAGTTTAGTCCAGTCCAACATCCCCTTTAATGACGACCTCAGTAATAAAGAGAAACATCAGCAGGAATAAACGTCACCACCCCCTCGCACTCGCTCCAGGTGAATTCTACTGATTATATCCTCTAATCCATGAAAATCAGCTCACAGACTTTTCAGAACCTGATAAAATTCTGGTTGTAAATGTTTTTATTATGAGTTATTAATCATAAATATTATATTCACTCAACAACTACATTTAGCTTTCTCTATTTGACAATATTTTACTCCTAACAAGCACTTCAGGTCTTTTGTTTTAGTGTTTCATATCTTGAAATCAGATGTTGATCTGGACTTGTCAGGTGAGTTTTGTCTCTAATAAGTAGAATGAGACGAGGAGACTCATCAGGTCTGACCTTCAGTCCATGCACAGAGGGGAAGAAGTCGTTGAGATATTATCGGGTGTTAAGTGATTTTTTTATGGTTTAATATAAACTAGATATCATTTAGATAGAATGTGTTTAATGCTGCACTCCTCAATGTTTATCATCCTTTAACAATAAGAAAATGTAACACTGAGAATTCAGCAGCACATTATTAACATCTCATTTAGTGTTAGTTTAGAATCATTGATGTTTAAAACAACAGAGATTCAGACTGAACATGAAATTAATCTCAGCCTCATTTCATCCTGTGACTGTTTGTATCATTTGTGTTTATTCAGCACAATCAGCTGATAGAATGACAACACAGATGTTCACTACAGCTCGCTGGGACTTTGTTTCTGTGTGATAGTTTATTTATTACCTGTCCCTGTTCATCATCTCTCCTATTAATGGTAATAAATCAAACAGAGTCACAGTTTAGATTTACATTTTTCTCTCAGGTGGAAACATTTACCTGATGGGTCAACGTGACTTCATCCTTTTTTTAAACTGCTTTGAGATCAAATACTCAGAGTTCAGTCAGAACACAGTATGTTTTAAATTATATTCACAATAAATCACTGAAAGGAAGAATCTCACCGTGGATGTACACAGAGATGTTAGAGGAAGTCTGATGACAGATCTCATTCTGTGTGAGCACACAGCTGTAGTGGTCGGTCTTGGTCACAGTGGTGTGGAGGATGATGTCGTAGCTGCCTTCTCTTTCTGTGACCTGTGGTTCTTTAGCATTAAGGATGTTTCCAGAACTGTTCCTCCACTCCACTTCAGGTCGAGGAGAAGCTCCTTTAACTTCACACTGCAGCAGAGACCAGTCCTTTGATTCCTTAAGTGAGGTGACCGATGGCTCTGGACATGCACCTGTGTACAAAGTATAAATAATAAATTATTCAGGTTATTTACAGCAGCAGAAACATAAAATGTGATTCTCTTGTTCAACACATATCTGATTAAATATGTTTATAAAAAGAGGAATAAACAGGGAAATAAAGTGAACTACATGTGTGAATAAAAGATCCCGTTATTTGTCCCAGCAGGCTATGACATGTTGAAGGACCCTGTAAACCACCTGACCTGAAGCCCGTTCATCAGAGCTGCTAGGTGTGGAGGACACGTGGTTATATCAACTAACAAAAATGATTTTATTATTATAAATTCAACTGAAACATATTTAATGAGTTATGATTCCTTTAGTTTTAACTGAAGTGTTGTGAGTCTTTACGTCACAAACTGAAGGATAATGTTCAATAAAGTGAATCATATATATCTTCAATATTTGTGAGTGGTATCAGGTGTGTGATCGGCAGAGGATGACGTCATCAGGACTCACCTGGCTCCTCCTCCTTCGTTCTGTCCTTTAAGATACAGTCTGAAAGAAAAAAGAAAAATGAAGGTTAGAGTGCTTGTGTGATGTTATTAGCATGGCTTATAGGGCTTATCATCACTGTGATCAATAAAAAATACATTTTATACAGTTATATTAAATCCATCTAAAACGTGAATAAAAAGCTTCAGTCTGCTGGTGGACAAGTGGTTGGTTTGCCCTCCCCATGTACACAGGCTTTAGTCCTCGAAGCGGGCGGCCCAGGTTCAAACCCGACCTGTGTCATCTTTCCTGCACTCACTCTCTCTCTCTCTCTCTCTCTCTCTCTCGCCCAAATCTCCCCTTAAAAACTCTCTGAATAACATGTCACATCTCATTTGTGCAGAAAATAAATCAAATTAAAATGAATGAAGATCATGATCATCTTTAGATTTTTGTTTCATGTTTGTTTTGAACAAACTAGATATGAGTTAGGTAATAAAATAGATGCATCATTTAACATGGCTTATAGTTTAAAGTCATTTGTGGCCCCCGTACACTGGACAGATCTTCATCCATTAACTCGACCTGAGTCCATCTAAGGAGACTATCGGCCCCATCTGTAAATACACTTTATTACCATGTTGAGAAAACTATTATTGATCATTAAAGATATGTGAGTATTTATTCAGATACAGAGAAGATATTTTCAAAGTCAAACTGAACACTTGAGGAGATTGAATCTATATTAAAGATTTGATGAAATACATTTATAACTTTGGAGAAGTTTTAAAGAGCTCTGTGGACACCTGCTGGAGAAGCTCTGTACTGCACTTTGTAAAATATCTCAAAGTCAGTGTGTAAAGCTTAAATGTGATCCAGTTCTTTAAAAGAACTTGAGGTGGACATCCTGCAGATATCTGCCTCACAGAGTGTTTACTTTAACATGAACATGTTCCAGCTCCTCATGCTCTTCATATTATTCACTTTGAAATGGTTTGAAGAGACAGAAATGCACAAAATGAAAATGAATCTCAAGAGGTTTAAACACAATCTGAGATACAAAACAAACCTGTTTGTGTGGAATATTATGGAGCTGGTAATAAAGACAATCAGATGATAAATATGTTTGTGCAGAGTGATATAACCTGTACTGTTTAGTAAATATCAAACATGTGATTTCTGACTACTTTAAAAAAAGTTCATCAGTGACTCTTAAACCAGTCATCTCAGGAAAAATGTTTTTAACTGTTATTTTAAAAATACTCACCAACCAGCAGCTCAATGAGGAACGTTTGAGGCGGCTGCAGACGAGGAAAAAAACAGGTGTAGTTTCCACTGTCAGACACCTTCGTCTCTGTGATCTTTATGGAGGCGTTACCGTTCTTCAGCTCGTATTCAAAATGTGAGACTCGACCTTCAAACTGTTTGTCTTGACCTGTAATGCCATGACCGTAATAATCTCCTCCGTTGTAATGGAACACCTCCTTGTGATCGTCTTTCTTCCAGTCAAAGATCTTCGTCTCGATGTTCTCCTTGGTGCTGAGGGAACACGGTAACACAGCATCACTGTCTTCTTTCACCACCACTCGACCTGAGACAGAAACACGAGGATGAATCAGTTTGTTTACATGCAGAAAACCTGAAAACAGTTACAGTAAAGTTTATTAATGGAGCATCAACATATTATATCAAAGAAACCTTTCATGCTTTCTCGTCTTTGTCCACCTAAATGCAGACTGACGTCTCTGAGTGTCTGAACCTCTAAACGATGTCATCTTGTCTTGTTGGTTATGCAGGTATATTTTTTCAGTTAAAGCTTTCCCCACTGTGTGTGTTCATTCATTTACTGTCCCTTTAAAAACAAAGTACCACTTGTTAGGTCACTGAACTCTGGGCCGTCTAATTTACGACATGGAGGAAACATCAGGAGCAAAGTTTTGGAAACAGGCAGCACCTGGCCAGCAAGGTGCTTAGAAATAAAAAAAGATGGTGAACCAAAGTAATCCAAGACACTATGGTGCGTTGGAATCGTCATTTTTTCTGAGGAAGGTTCCTAACTGAGTGAAATGAAGCATTTAAGTGTTTTTTAAGTGGTTTCCATGATAAGAGCCGTTTGAATTCTCTAAAATCTAAGGAAAGGTGGGTCGATGCTTCCTTTATAACCTCCTTTAGGATACACTGGACCATCCTTTACCAAAGGAGATGAGATATGACGTCCCACAATTCCTTGCGGCCGCAACATTTAAAGCGAGTCGAGCATCCGACCGTTCAGGAACATTAACGATGATCGTAAAGTGACTCAGATCATGAAAGAGATAAAAGATAAGAGACATTTTTATCAGATGATGTTTGATTCAACATATTTCATTCTCTTCAGAATGTTTTGTGCTGCTGTACATTTGTATGTTTAAAACATTATGTGTAGGTTATATCTTACATTAATGTAACAATTCATTTCATCCAATCATATTGATGTTGATGTTGATTTCTGATTGGACAGGAAACTGATGGTTTCACTTTTTTTACTTGTAGCCTGGTAGTCTATATTTCTTTTATTTCAATCCCAACCTCGTGGTGATCAGGATTATTTCACCGGTAAGAAGCACAGGGGAAAGTTTTTTACATCATCTTTTTGTAGTCCATTTTCTGAACATTGTAGTTTCAACACGGCAGACCCACCCAGGGGTACAAACTGATCAGGGATGAAAAAGGTGACATGGATCCAAACCTCCTAGCGGGGTCCGGGGACATGCTCCCCCAGGAAGACTTTTTTTAAATATCAGCTTTAAAATGTGAATTTACAGAAGATTTTAGCATTCAGACTAAAGAAGCAGTGCAAACAATAAGAAAAACACAAAGCTTGTTGATATCTATGTTCTGTTTTAACTTTTTGATAAAGCTTCAGTGAAACATGAAGAACCCCGTGATGCTCCCAACCTTCAGTCCCTTTCTATACATTTGCAGAACAGGTCTTACCATGTTCCACTAAGAGCTGATGTGAAGGGCAGTCACTATGCAGGCAGCTCTCAGAGTCTGAGAGAACATCACAATACAGTCATCAAGGATGACAATATTTTCTCTTCTATCTAGGGTTGCCACCTTCCGAGCAGAAAAATAAAGGACACCTCTGGCAGCGGGGGTGCCAATCTGCAGGGGCCCGACCACCAAGGGCCTAATAGTGGGGTGGGGCATCAGTTGTGGTAAATCATAATAAAGACATTGTTTTAATAACGTATTACTTAAAGTTTGAAGTACTTCATTGCACACTGTTTTTCAGAAAATATCTGCAAACGTAAAACTGTGTAAAAGCAGATACAACAATTAAATGCACATAACACAACTTGAGTAAATGCTACTACAAGCTAGTTAAACCAAAACTTATTAACTTAGCATTAATTTATTAAATTAGAATTAAACAAATGCTTTGACACTTTCAAAAAATATGTGGTGCAGGAGAACACAACAACTTTTAGAAAGTAGGAATAACCATAAAAAATAATCTCATCTCAGGATGGTGATGCTACTTGTGCACACGTGACTCACCACAAATGAAAGAAACACGAAACAAATTCTAGGTGTGCAAATAACAAACATTAAAACTATAAAACTATCCTTCTGCCCACATCTCTGTTTTATAAAGTGATCTGTTTACCAAAAATGTTTTTTTCTTCTATGTGTGGAGCAGTAGTCCATGCCAAAGAGTCAACAGCCTTCTCTCTTCCTAAATGTGCTACTTCTTTTTCCATGTGTACTTCTTGTCACTTCTTGAAACACTGAGTAGCTGTTTGTCTTTCAAAACACTGCAGTAAAACTCTGAACAGGACTGCTCAAAGTTGAGAGTGATCAAGAGCTCACTCCTCATAAGTTCCACAGAGCACCTGTTCCTGCTGTCACTCCATTTGTTTGTCATTCTTGAAAAAATCCTTTCCACGTATCCTGTGGATGCCGAGATGCTCAGGATGTGGCTGATGATGGCCAGCATGTTGGGCAGGTCAGCTTCATGAAAGAGAGCCACCCACCTTGCAGCCACGTCTTTGGACTTCCATTCATCTTCTGCTTTCTCTTTGAGCTCCTTCAGAATGGTATTTGCAGTTGTGCATTCCTCATATAGTTCATCCATGTTCACTTTATCAATGAGGTTGAGCTTATCAGTGATCTTCTCAATATCGCTGAAGGTAAGCATGCCACAGTGCAGAGAGAGAGGTTGCAGGGAGAACAGCCAGTTGTTGTCGGAAAAGTCAAACCATTTGTCTATGTATGAAATTGCCGTGTTGAGAAATGCAGTGAAATCTGACCTTGCCTTGTTTGCATCATGTGGGAGGAGACGTTGCAGCTTCACTTTTGTTAAGTAGCCATAGAACTGGTCATCTCGTCTGTGTGTGAGTTTTCTCTTGAATGTATCCATGATGGAGTATAACTCAACACAAGTTGTTGAATCACTCTCCAGCTTCTTTACAACTTCCTCAAAGAGGGAGAGGATGTTACTACAGAACAGGAGGTAAACCTCCACCTCATCAACATCTCCCTCAGTTGTATCTTCCCTGAGTTTTAACAGAGCACTGATGTGTCGGGGACACTCATCCCCCAGGCTTATGAAATGAGACCGGGGAGCAGTCCAGGTTTGCAGTAGCCGGGTGATGGCTGGATTTAGGGACAGCCACCTTGTTGTCACATGTCGCAGAATCTCCCGGAACTCCACATCACAAAACTGGCAGAAGTCTTTTAGGGACTCTCTTCGTTTGGCAGATGAAGAGAAGAAGCTGTAGATCTTTAGCACAACGTTTTCCACATCTACAGTGAGCTGGTTGAGAGCATGCTTTACTGTGTTGTGCACAATGTGGGCATGGCAGTTCCCTTGCAGAAGATTCTTTTGCTTTTTCTTCAGGTTGGTGAAGACAGAGTTGTGTATTCCACAACTGACATTAGTGTTGTCTGCACTATATGCTGTAACTTGATCTAATGATAAGCCAAATTTATCGAGGGATTTTTGTATACAGTCTATAATGCCAGCAGCTGACTCATCTGCATTCTCAATGAAATCCAGCATTTTGTTGGTGATCCCACTTTCTGTCCTAAAGTACTGAACAGCTATGGGAAACATCTTCCTGTTCCCCTTATTTGATGCATCAGTTTGTATGGAGAATGGAGGGGTTTACCTGATGTTAACACACCAATTACATCACCCACTGCCTTCAGAGCAAGGACGTCTTTGACCATCGCTTCCGCCTTCGTTCTCCCTAGAGACATTTTCTTTCCAATTTTGGAATCATGGAGTGTCTTCTGATTAAGTTTGTGTCCACAGTCTGCACTGTTGTAGCTGAGGTTGTGCTTGACCGTGTGGTACACCTGTGTCAACTCAGCTGCTGTAACTTTTTGTTGTTTTCTCATGAAATCATGAATGGTACTATCAATATTGTTTTGACCTTTTTTCTTATTGTATTAATGAAGTGACTATTCTTGATGTATTGATGACATATATAGGCTACAGAAATAACCTATCTACAAAAATATATTAAATAAAACACTATGGTAGCTTAAACATCATTTATTCCTTTTTAACATCTCATACTGTTGATTCATCAGTAGGATTAATTTTTACAAAATAATCATATATTATTATTGTTATTATTATTATAATTGTTATAATTATTATTGTTTTTTATTATTATTATTATTGTTATTATTATTATTATTATTATTATTATTATTATTGTTGTTGTTGTTATTATTGTTGTTGTTGTTATTATTATTGTTATTATTATTATTGTTGTTATTATTATTATTATTGTTATAATTATTATTATTATTATTGTTATTATTATTGTTATTATTATTATTGTTATTGTTATTATTATTATTATTATTATTATTTTTATTATTATTGTTATTGTTATTATTATTATTGTTGTTATTATTATTATTGTTATTATTATTGTTATTATTGTTATTATTATTATTATTATTGTTATTATTATTATTAATAAGCTTGTATCTGCCTCTGGAGATGCTTCAGAACTGTGAGACTGCAGTTTGGTATTTGTTGGTCCTGATGTTGCGGGAATGTTCCTCTCCCGCAGCATGCTGTCGCACGTCCGACAGGCCACCATGCACCACAGAAAACACTCGGCCACAGATTTAGCAGTTTCCTTTGAATTCGTTTTCACTGACACTGTCAAGCCAGTCATTTGAATTTTCACTCTCACGTCTGTATCTTTGCATCCGTTTGCGTCTCAATGGTGCACAGGGCGGAGTACCAGATGCAGCCGCAGGCGCAGACATGTTTGCTTCTGATTTCCTATGACTTGCTCTCACCCAATCAATGACAAGCACTCATTCCTCATGCCTAAAATCAACCAACCAAACCAACTGCCGCTATGAGTAGGCGGGAGCTAGCTGATGTTGAATCCGGCGGAATGGTGCTGCGTTCAATGAAAATTGGAAATACGGACAAACCGTATTGATTCAAAACGGGACGCAATGTTAAGTGTGAAATAAGGACAATTCCATATTTTACGGGACGGTGGCAACCCTACTTCTATCATTAAATATGAAACATTATCAACATATGAACCTGATGTTTAGCTCCTGCTGGTTTTCATTAAGTTTATATTCCCTCTCTTATTACATGTGTTGATCAGCTGTCACTTTAATGTTTCCTGAGATAATAATGAAGCAGAAAGCTGAATGAAGTTACCTTCAAGCACATTTCTCTCATCATCTTTACCTCTGTCTACCAAACAGTAAACATGATCAGACAGCATGTTTAACAGAAAGGCTGGCTTGCTAACCAGACTTGAAATCTTTCCAGTGTTTTCACAGAAAAATACCGTGATGTAAATGAGCCATGTGCTGCACATTGACTCATTGAATCAGGTTTCATGCTTCTTGTGGTCGGCGCAAGAAGTCATGTGCTGCAGCATTATATCCAGAAACAGAAGAGAGGACCAGCCTGAACCTCTGCAGGATGTCTCTGTCCTGGTTTGCATAACGAGTCGCTTTTTTGTGTTTAATGATGTTTCACAACATCCAGATCAAATTTAGTTGGATGTTGGTGTGATGGAGTACTGGAACAGGAAGCCCCGCCTCCTCCTCCTCACCTCAAACAAACCTCCAGAAACAGGAACAGAGACAGACCGTTACACCCTGTTATCTCTCTTCCTGGTTCTGGAGGGGTGTTTAGAGGAGAGGGGGCACACACTCTCTTGGGTAGCACATGTTGAGTATCTCAATCTTCCTTCACATTTCCCCCCTCTCATGTATTATTTCTTAAACTGCTGGTTTGGTTGTTTTTAGTTTTGGCTGGTGGTCTCTCACTAGTCCTGTTTTCAGTCTTTAGTTTAATACTTATGAGGTCGTTTTAGGGGGAGGTGCTGAGCCAACGCATCAGGCTGTTGCTCTCGGTCCTTCCCTTCTTCTGTCCCCCCCCCCCATTCCTTTTTTGTTTTCTTTGATTTCTTCTTCCGACAGTTTGTCCCAAAATAAACCCGAGCTGTTCAGACCCAAACTGCTTTTTGAACCAGGTGTGAACGTGATTATTTCTGCTGTAAACATTTATTACAGGTGATAATGAAACTTTTAAGGCTTGGAGACAGCCTCCAGTGACACTGGAGGAACTGCAGTTTTTTCATATTGGCTTCATATTTCAACACTCGGTTGCCATGACGTCCATGTATCTTTGGATATTGGATCATGGATCTCTGTAAAGGGAATTAAAACATTTTATTCATGTTACATTCTCTTTTTAAGCCGTGAACAGCGCGAGGCTCACAGAAAAATAAGCCAGCCTCTTAAATTAATATTACTGTTCCAAAAACTGACTTTAAGGACCTCTGACACGTCGCAGTCCATTGGACGCTGCTGCACATCCGGTCTCAGAATATTAAAAAAACTGACCTTTTTATTGTTTCTGTCTTCTAGTTGTTTCATGTTTTTGTTTTCTTAAAGACAATGAGGAAGGCTCGGCACTTCTGTCTCGCTTTATGCTGACACATTTATTGGATCATACGTTTCGATCTGACCGACCTTCATCAGGTATAATGAAGGTCGGTCACATCGAAACTTTGTATAATCGTTCAGGTGTGCAGAGGTTATTTTGTTTCTGGAAATGGAAAAAGGAAATGAAAAGATTTTCTAACTTTTGCTCATCCGTTTTGAACGTAAAAAATAAAATCATCTCGTGTTTCAATCTACAA